TTGTTGCTAAAAGTAAATACAAATTTATACTAAAAATTTTATACTAGTGCTTTACACATTTATACTACTGTTTATTATGAATGTATGGTAAATTTTGTAATACATTTATTGTAAAGAAGATATGTTAGATCTAAATAAAAATAAACTTACCCTTACTATAAAATGTAAACTATAAGTGAATTACAGCAAAAAAATATTGCTAGAAACACCATTTATATTGCTAGGGCAGCAATAGGCTGCTAACCAAACGAATATATTTGTTTTAGCAATGTATGTGGTAGTCTATATATGAAACATAAAATATATTTGCCCTAATTATTTTTTTATTTAACTTTAGTATATATTTCTTTCAGTGTAATGGGTCAAATTATTAAATTAATATTTTATACTATTTCTTAACATAACTGTTTATTTTCAACAACAAAAAATAAAACCATAATAACAACATATTATGTTTTAATCAGCAATTTATTTAATAAAATATGGTTTTATTCATGAGATTATATAATAAATTTACAATACAATTCATTAATATTAGAACCAATAAAATGCCAGCATTCCATAGTTACGCATTTTATCTCATCGGCAATATTTTTTATCATCTTGTTTACACGGTACTAAGGATTTTGACACTTTTCTTGATTTAACATTTCGATGACTTTCTGCCAAAGTATCGCAAGCAACATAACTCAAATTTCGGGAATTGAAAAATTTTTTTGTTTTTAAGTCTGTTTTAAATTAAGTAAATAGCTTATACTTATAGCTATTTACTTGTTATAAAACCTATAGGTTATATATGGTTTAAAACAGACTTTAAAACAAAAAAATATTTTCAATTACCAAAATTTGAGTTATGTTGCTTGCGATACTTTGGCAGAAAGTGATCGATTTGTTGTCATTTAAATTCTGTGTTTGATATATATCAATAAAATAATGAATTATAAACTCTAAAAGATCGATGGGTTGGTGTAAACGATAATGAAATTAAGGTAAGTTTGAATAAATAAGGTTTATTAAAGTCTTTTTTTATTTTAAAGCACATTTTAATTTTAAATGTCAATCTGACAATTTTTTAAATCCTAAAATTCATTGTATTTTCTCACTAAATATAACTCGTGGTATGACTAATAATCGAAGATATTTACTCATTGAAACCGAAGCAGCACATTTCACTCGTCCTGCGGACTCGTGAAATCTGCAGCTCGATTTCAATTCGAAAATATCATCGATGATAATCATACCACTTGTTATATTATGGGTGATAATAATATTATTATGAACGCTACAATGTTAGCTTAAAAAAAATCTAAAGTAGTTTCCGAGTTATAAGCCCATCCCCGAAAATATATCTACCTACTTTAGTTCCAATGTGCGGCGACCGATATTCGAAACGGTGGACGATTGAGCACTACGATTAATTCTGATTATTTTTAGATTGAGAGCTCACTGATTACCCGCAGTAAAGTAAAGGTAATAACCTAAAAAAACGGGATTAATTGAATTAGGTCATTTTAAATAGGTTAACATAGCCCAGGCTTGTATACAAAGGGGTTTTTCATTAAAAATTTAAATCTAAACAAATATTATAAATATTCCCACAAAAAAGTACTTTGGTGTTGGATATATTTCAAATATTTGTTTAACCTATCACCAAAGTTGTCCTTCTTAAAGTGTTTAAATCTACATTCATAGAATGTGAGTATCTAAATGCACTAAAAATTCTGCAAGATAAGGTTTCTGGACACTGTATTCAATTATGTATGACGCTTCCAAGAGTATTTTGAACCTTGAATTCGTGTTAATCGTTATCATAACAAGGGTGAAGATGGTGTGCGCAATTATCTCGGATAACATGTTATTACTGGCACGGAATTATTGTAAGCGAGTCAGTAGGTTGTGAAAAGGCGTGTGTATTAAACGCCAATCGCAGCCGGATTGTCGGCAGCCAACGATTAAGACAATTATTACGTCTGAACGTGTTTCCCAATAGCCGATAAATTAAACAAACTTCGGTTTACGACGCCGCGGCGCGCCGTTTCGTTTACATAATTGCGTATGTGCATATCTTGCAAGTTTTTGAAAGCGAAAGCAGTGGAGAGTGATTTTAATAATTTTCATATTCGCAGTCCCTCCAAACACTTTAATAATATTCATAAGTGAGAAAGGAAGTATTCGGTATTCGGATGACTGACATTTAATTTAGTCACACTTTAATATTTAAATGACGTCTCGCAACGCTAAAGTGGGTTTATTTTCTGTACACATTTCAGGTAGTGTCATTTCTATTAAATTCTCTTGAGACATCCTCTTGCTGTAACTTATAAATTGGTGCCTTTTATTTTAAAAAATAGCTACAATGGATGACATAAAATCGTCTATAAAATCATATTGATATTAGTATCTCGAACAGAATCATAGGTAGGTAATTCTAACATGAATTGTCGTAAATTGCCAAAATTTAGGACTCAACATTACAGTTATCCGAAATCTCTGTGTTATCGAAAACTAGTTGGCAAAATAAAAGAAAAAGTTTTATCGTAAATAGACCTTCCGCTTTCCACTGCATACAAAATGTATTGTTGCTTGCCCCAATTACATAAAAAAGAAAGGTCTCCAATTTATAAGTGGGAAACGTTGTTTTGCGCTCTAAAGTTTAACGGCTTTATTCCGAGTACTTTAGTTCGCTAAGGGTCATCGACACCTTAGATAACGATAAGGAATTGGAAATGTGATTAAATCCTTTCATGTCAAAAAAACGTTAAATGATCGATGATGTACAATAGCGGAAAAAGGTGAATTTCGCGGTTATCGATTGTTTAAAACTTTGTGTGAATAGCATACCCGTATTATACAAATTCCTGCGACTAAACTCCTGTAAACAACTACTCAGCTCATTTTTAAGATGAATTAAAGAGTAGTTGGAGTGTGTGGTAATGGTTTTTCAATGGGGCATTAAAAAAACGCATGCCAAAGAGCCTGTACAAGCAGCGCGTTATCGAGTTATCCGGAACATATGTGTATTTGAGTGGGCTGTGTTGACATGCCAAAGTTAAGGTCGATTACGACGCCAACAATGCAGCCAACCTGCTAGAAATAATCGAACCATAATAGCGAAGCCCGACAAGACCTAATTCAGATACTACCACTACTACTAATACATATGAGGACCCAAGAAGCCAAGGGATACAAGTGACATTTAAAAAAAATGTAGTTATGTACAGAAAAAGATTGTAAATGGTACATTTTACTTGGTATCCAAGGGATATAACTGAATTCTAAGCTTAGACATCTTGAAAAATAAAGTTATAAACAACAAACAATTTTGACTCCAAATTACAAGTGTTTTTTTACATTAAACAGAATTATCTCAAAACTAAACAAAATGTACCCCTTGGCTTCTAGGGACCCCATATGTTTTTGGACTTATTCTGCCCTGCTAGGCCAAACCCCCGTATGTACAATATGGTAATAAAGGACAGAATATTATTATTTTTTTAAAATTAATTCATTATTACAAAGCAGTCACTAATGATTCTCGTCAATAGCAATTTGTATCCCGAATATTTATTAGTTAATTTCTATTTAAAATTGTCCCATGAATCCGAAAATGTTATCAAAAGTTATAAGTAGAAGAGTTTTTGAGATAAAGTCAATTTTCCATTTAATATTGAATATTTTAAAAACTGCTATACTTTCATAATTTTTGACGGTATTTTCGGATTCAGGGGACATTTTTACATAAGAATTGGCTGTTAAATGTTAGGGATACCATGGTGTCCCATGGTTAACCATGACATAATTGAAAAAGCAGCCACTAATAATTGTAGTAACTAGTCATTTTTATTAATTCATTTTTAGAGAGTATATTCGTAAGTAATATCATAAAGGCATGTTTCCAAAAAAAAGAAAAAAAGCATGTGCTGGTGGCAACAAAAATCCGAGTCGAAGACGAGGATTTTTGCACCTGCACGAATGCATTTTGTTAAAAAATATTACTTGGCATTGTGTTTTTTCGATTTTTTCCAGGAAAAATTAGATGCCCGAATGGTATTTGACAAGACTATTTCATAAGTAACAGTTATTCTGCATACACATAGCTTACAAAACTTACAAAACATACTACCTATTTTACATGCATACATAATAAATATGTAGGTATTAATTTGAAAACTGAAAAGTAGGTAATTTATTTAATTACAAAATACTACAAACTTAATTATTTATGGTACGATTAAAATATAAATTGCAATTTTTAGTGACAACAGCTGTCAAGTTTTGCCGCGGGTAAACTCGAAAAAACTGCTGACAGGTGCTGTCACACAGTTTTTCCACGTAGAAACCATTTGTAATTCAAAATTGCACGTTTGTGATTAGTGGAAATTAAGACGAGGGAAATAGTCATATTGATACGCACTTCAAAAGTCAAATTATTATACACATAGGAAGAGTGGTTCCGTCTATCGCGTTTAGCTTGAAACCAGCAGAGAAAATGTAAACTTACAGTTAGTTTACTGTAGAATAAATTCATGTACATAACCTACAATATAACATACCTATGTCAAACGTCAAACATGACAAAATGTCGCAAACTCGATAATTTTAATGTAAGAACAGAATTATTAAATGATTATTATATTTATATTTTATATTATTATATTCTTTGTGTGTAAAATTGTCGATGCTTACGAAAAAACTGCCTGATTTTAGTTTTGTAGCCATATAAAAAAAAGATTTAATTAAATTTCTTGCGTAATAGCATTAACCTAGATTAAAAGACAAAAGACTGAAAAAAGACTAATCCCGTGTAATTTGAAGTATCCACTTTTCGTTAGCACTTAATTGATGTTAGTCAGCGAAACGGACCTGAAGAGTCATCATCCCGCAGCATGTTCTTTGTGTCTTATTATAATTACGAATATTTTTTGAGGTTAAGGTCACCGATATTTTTATTTTTATTTATGATGACGGTCGGATACTTATTGGGTTTTATTTTGTTACAGAACCCCGGAGCAATGCCCCAGTGTCGTTTCTCTGCTCGCTGAAAGCTACAACCCACACGTGCGCTATGGTGCTGCCATGGCTCTTGGTATTGCGTGTGCCGGTACCGGTCTGCGGGAAGCTATTGCACTATTGGAACCCATGGTTATGTTTGACCCTGTTAACTTTGTTCGACAGGGTGCTCTTATAGCTTCAGCGATGATCCTCATCCAGCAAACCGAAGCCAATTGCCCCAAGGTTAGCTTCTTTAGGCAAACCTATGCATCAGTAATTTCCAACAAGCACGAAGATGTTATGGCCAAATTTGGTGCCATCTTGGCTCAAGGTAAAGAAAGAAAACAAAATAAATTAACAGCAATTAGTGGTCATATAATTATTTATAGGTATAATTGATGCTGGTGGACGTAACGTAACCCTATCCCTGCAATCAAGAACAGGTCATACCAACATGCTGGCTGTTGTTGGTACCCTTGTCTTCACTCAATATTGGTATTGGTTTCCGCTTTCTCACTGTTTGGCTCTAGCCTTCACACCAACCGCTTTGATTGGTCTTAACGCTCAACTTAAAATGCCCAAGTTGGAATTGAAATCCAACGCCAAACCAAGTTTATATGCTTACCCAGCTGCACTTGAAGAAAAGAAACGCGAAGAACGCGAAAAAGTAACAACAGCTGTGCTAAGTATTGCTGCAAGGCAACGCAGGAGAGATCACGAGCGTAAACATCGCGATGAAAAAATGGATGTTGATGAAGAAAAAGTGGATGAGAAAAAGAAGGCGGAGGAAAAAAAGGAAGAGAAGAAGGTAGAAGAAAAGAAAGCAGACGATAAAAAGACTGACGATAAAAAACCAGGCACTTCTTCTGGCGATGATAAGAAAGACAAAAAGGATGAGAAGGAAGAAAAGAAGAAGGAACCTGAACCCAGTTTTGAGATACTTCAAAATCCTGCTAGAGTGCTTAGACAGCAATTGAAGGTGGTTTCCATCAACGAGAATAGTCAGTATGTCGCAATGAAGGATACTTCTATTGGTGGTATTATTATGGTGAGAAATTTAAAGCCCGGAGAAGAGGAACTCGTCGAACCGGTAGCTGGTAAGTTTATTACTCTCGATCTCTTGGTTTCATTTTTATTGTTATTTTTATTTTTATAGCATTTGGTCCAAAAGGTGAAGATGAGAAGGAACCTGAGCCACCAGAGCCATTCGAATGGTTGGAAGACTAGACTAATGTCAGCTTTTTTTAACTACTTATTAAATATAATTTTCCGTGTCAAGCTTTTTTTAATTAAAAATATGTATTTCAATATCATATTAATCTGAATGTGTATCTAGGATATAGAAAGTTAAATAAAGAAAAAACATTAAATTTTTGTTTTATTTTATTTTAATTATGTTTTGGTTACAGTGCATGCTAATGATGATGATGTGGTTAAAAAATGTACATTTAATTTAAACATGCATTTATCAAGTTTATTAAAATAGAGCGCTTTAGTGATCGATTATGCTTTTTGAACGTAACTTGTTCCGTTTTTTTTTTTTAACTTTTACGTTCTTCAATGTTTCAATTAAACCCATGTTTATAAGTTAATAATAAGTTTTAGAAATTCCCTGAAATACCTTTAAAATCAATCGGTTGTGTATTAAAGCTAAGCTGTGGACAATGAAAGTTCTAGATAGATCACCGTAAGAAATTTACAACACAATCCAGTAATTATCTGAATTAGTTTAATAAACGTCAATTTGAACGCTATTGTATTAGGGCAATATATCAGCAACCTCAATTTGTACCTTTCACGAAGCTGAATAAAGACGCAAGTTAATCATTTCACCCACCAAAGCCGGTGCCGTTCGGTATTGAGCCTATTGTAAAGTCAAATTAAATTATTTACATTTTATACGTTTGGGAGATTTTAAGAAAACATTTTTAAATATTTTTAATAATAACATTATTAAAAATTTAAAACTTAATGTAAGGTTTTGTTTTCTTTTATAATACATTATTAATTAATTTTGTATGTATTGTAAGGTTTGGTTTTCTTTTATAATACATTATTAATTAATTTTTTCATATTTAAGTATCACTTAATGTAAGGTAAGGTAAGTAAAATTATTGTATTATAATAGTGTATCATTTATCAGGTTTGATAAAAGCAATTTTAGTCGCGAATTTTAATTAGGCACGAGCCAGCTTGCGTGCGAGTGTTTAATAAAATTAGATGAGTTTATAAACATTCCCATACTTTAATTTTTCTACGACAAATATTATTAGGTATTAGGGGTGTGCGAATAATTCGAACTTACGAAATATTCGTTCCGAATCGAATATTAATATTCGATTCGGAACTCCAATCGAATTATTCGAATTATTCGAAAGTTCTCGAATAATTCGAAAAATTTTGAATAGTTCGAAAATTTTCGAATAATTCAAATTTTTTTCGAATTAACTATTCGAATTTTTTTCGAATTATTCGTAAACTATTATATTATTAGCGAATTTTCGAGTATTTTGAATTCAGGGTTTCTTATGTTCAATATTCAAATATGAATTAAACAGTCAATATACATTTTATTCAAACCATGAAATATAGTTACACAAATAGAACAATAAGTAGGTATAGTTTTTTTTTGAAAGAGAATGAAATAACAGAAATTATCGTAGCAAATACAGTATTATGAAATTGTATTGTAGCAAATACAGTATTATGAAAAATACAACATTTGAAAATTTGCTACAAATTTTTGTGCAAAAATAATAAATACGATATTGAAACATTACATGAGTAACCTTTTTTATAGTTTTTTTTCTCTGGGTAATTGATTTTTTACCGAAAAGTATATTATTCGTAAGTAGAATAGTTCGATACACGATTTAAAGGAATTTAAATGAAAGCAATTGTTATTTGAAATTTTTCGAGTTATTCGAAATTTTTCGAATTATTCGAATTATTCGAAAGCGGTGTTATAATGAAGTCATTATGAACGCAGAATAGATAAAATATTAAAATAACTTTAAAATATGATTATGTTAAGAAAATATTTATCCCCAAAGTTTTTTATTTAGAAAAAAAATACAAAAAAATTACCCAACTTTGTAGAGCTCTTCAATTTTTTTACTAATTTACCTATATATAGTTTACAATAAATAATGTGGAAACACATTTCACAAGAGATACTGTACATAATAAAATAAATACTGTACATAATAAAATAAACAATGTCAAATAACTTTTTAGATTTTCTATGAGATTGAAATATCTTTATCCCTTAAAAAAGCTGTCGTCTGCAAAGTTTCTGCGAACACCTCAACATAAAGCCTTAAAGTAAAACCGATACAAACGACTTTAATATATTATCTAATACGCAGCAGTGACAGCGAGTCCACAGAGCCGGTCGGCCGTTGAGTCCGAGTTTGAATTTCGGAGGTTTCTGAAGGAGATGATCCTTGTATCGACATCATGACCCATCCCTGGCTCAAATTATTTTCTTAACGTTATTGATTTGAATAAGAAGTTGTTTTTTTAAGAAATAAATGTTAATTTAGACACTGCAAGATTTATTATTAAGATTGGCACATATCTTGTTGCTCAACTTGGACAAGTTCAAGTTTTTAATTTTTTTAGTTCACTTATGAGGATTAGGATATGCACTAAAAAGTTTTAATATTAACTTTTAATTTTTATAATTTGTAATGTATGTTAATTAGATGACAATTGGCTTTAAACTAAAACTTTATTATAAAATATATTTACATACAAACTCAGTTTGTAATACAGTATGTACTTACTATTTACCCTCATATTTTTTTTTTCGTTTTTTTTTTTTTAAATTGTATTTGGGGGAAGTCCACTACCGCGTTATGCAAATTAATTAATAAAATCCAGTGGTAATCCTTGGAGAAATTCTATGTTTTATTTTATTTAAATAATAAATTTAAAAATGTTGACATTAAAATGATAAATGGTTTTTGGTTCAAGTCTTCCCAACTTTTTAAAAAACGAAAAATTACATCCATAAATAAAAAAACCTAACAATAATTGATGTCATATATCAAAAAAATGCATCCATAAAGTGCACATAAATATAAAAAAACCTAACAATAAAATCTTTCATTTAAAAGTTAGGGAGACTTGAACCTAAAACCATTTTTCATTCTAATGTCTACTTTATTTAAATATTTTGCTAATATTTTATATTTAAAGGATTCGAGGGCATTATGCAGGAATAATTGGGCAATTTAACGATTTTAATATACGAGGTGTGTTAAAAAATTACGGGAATTGTTAAATTTCGCGGGTTCGGAGGGTCCGGTTGTAATAAAATTTTCTTAAATATGTTGGTATACATGCCCCCGAAGTATGATAAAAACTTAAGCTGTTTTCATTGTTTACTTTGTCTGTGGCAGCCGCTAAAGTTAGACGTGTTTTATGAGCTTGGCGAACTTTCGTTCGTTAAAAGAAATGGATCAAAGAATTTTTATCCAATTTTGCTTAAAAAATGAAATAAATTTTGTGAAATGTTAACAAAGGGCTATGGTGACTCACCATTGGTGAGTCTGCTATAAGTAAAATAAGAGTTTACAAGTGGTATAAAAGTTTCCAAGATGGCCGTGAAGACGTTGAAGATGACGAACGCCCCAAACGAACAAGCACATTAACAACCGATAAAAACATGGAAAAAGTGGAAGAAATGGTTATAAACCATCAGAGAAGTCGCTGATGATGTTGGTATATCGATTGGCTTATCCCATGAAATTTTTTCGAATGTTTTGGGTATGAAACGCGTGGCAGCAAAATTTGTTCTAAAATTGTTAAATTTTGAACAAAATTTTTGACCAAAAACAATACTGTAATAATGCCCCAGCCTCCATATTCGCAAGACATGCCTCTGTCTGACTTTTTCCTATTCCCAAAAATAAAGAGAACCTTAAAGGGCCGTCGTTTTGCAAGCATAGATGGCTGAAAGAACTAAAGGCTATCCCAAAGATCGAGTTTTAGAAGTGTTTCGAGTATTGGAAGAAGAGCTGGCACATGTGCATAATATCCAATGGGGACTATTTTGAAGGCGACAACATTAATGTAGACGAATAAATAAATATTTGTTTCAAAAAACTAAAATTCCTGATATTTTCTGAACACACCTCGTAAAGCTCGAATGGTATTCAATAAGATTATTTTTAATACACGATAGTGGCTTAAACAGGGCCGTTCTTAGGGGTGTGCAACTTGTGCAGGCACAAAGGCGGCAAAACTTAAGGGCGTCTGAAGGGGATGATCCGGCCAAGACCTCTCTGGGATGTCCCGCTCATACAGGGTTACCATATTCTGAAAAAAAAACGGGATATTTTGTGTGAATTAACCTTAGTTACAAAAATGAAAACAATAACAAAAATAACGTCAAACTGACAATTTGCATTGTATCATTATGTCAATTTTGTCATTAAGATAAATTCATACAAAATGTCCCGAGTTTTTCTGACAGAATCTGGTACCTAACTCTGCGCTCATATAACCAAAGTCCCAAATTAATCAACAACTGGGACGTAACTGGGATTATTTTTTGTACGTCTCAGATATGTCTAGAACGGGATTTAAAAAATCACTAGATATAATAAATAACGGTTATTTAGATTTAAAACTTTAAAATTAATACTGCGTGTTTTGCTCTTTTTCCTCAAGAATGTTTAAACATGTCATGAATTAATTCCCAACAAACACAAACGTCCTCAGGACGTCCTTGGACCAGCTTTATGTCCCAGAACAGGATGATCCTATATGGACGTCCAGAGGATGTCCTTGGACCAACCTTAATGTCCCAGAATGGGATAAAAATATTAAATAATTAAAATTTTATTTATTCACCTTTTACAATATACTTGAAATTATTTTACAATGTTATATATTTTATACACTAATATGAATAAATATTTTTGATTTGATTTGATTTGATTTGGGACCGATCTACTATAGTAACGAATAATGATAGTATATCGAGTATGTTTAAGTGCAGATGATTTCTTCAGGACCTACTTTGTTTGGGATGTCCTGAGGAGGTTCGAGGATATCCTTGGGATATCCCAATATCCTGTAAGTTTTTCCTTAAGATATCCTTAAGACCGACTTGTGCTAGCTGGGATGTATTTTCTAATGTCCCGTGGACATCCAAAATAAAGTCCTGAAGACATTCCAACATAATATGTATTATATACCTATGTACCCTGGATGTCTTGAGGATGTTTCAAATTACGTCTCAAATTTTTCCAAAAGTTGCTCCTTGGGACGTCCCACAGATTTTTAAGGATAATACGGGACGTCCTGGGGATTACACAAATGTCCTAAATTTATGTTGCTTAAATAT